ATATAAAACATATTATAAGAGAAAGATGATTGGACTGGACCTGAGCAGCAGTTTCCAGAGGTCAGTCTCCCGTGGTCCTGCATCTTCACACCTCGGTGTGAAAGCTGCCGCTGGACACAACCTCAGAGCCCCGGAGACGTCCTCCTTCCCAATAATCACACAGAGCTACGCTCAGGACTGTTATTTCATTAAGTGCAATGTTTAATAATCTTGATCTGTGTGGTTCAGATATTTGGTTAATTGAAAGCTAATATTAGTTCTGTTCATCAGTTTGATCTGGAACCAACACTCATCTCCACAAACTTAACACATACGTGACCTCAGCCACATGGTCCCAACATCACGTGGCCAACACACACACACACCCACATACATATCTGAATATATTACGTTCCTTTAATTAGTCTTTATAGTTTCATCATGTTTTTCTTTAGCACAAAATATATTTTATATCATATTGTTATGCAATAAAACATGTTGAATAGTTTGTGGTGTTGTTGAGTGTTTGTTGATCTAGTGTCGTGTCAGACTCATTTTAGTTCAGATCTCATGTGGGCCAGACCAGTAAAATCAGAGCAGATTAACACAAACAGAAACACAATATGTCTCTGTTCAAATCATTGAAGGTTTCTGGATGAGAAGGTCTTTCTACAATAAACTAGAAACATAAAGACTAAAAACCCAGACATCAGACCAGTTTCTCTGCAGAGTCCCGAGCAGGTTTCTGGGCGGGTTATTTTACTCTTGTGTCCACAGTTCTTGGGGTAAATCTCCAACCTTGTCCTCTGATTGTTGTATATGTGGGATTCCTGACCCCTCACTTGCACTTAACTTTACACAAAAGCACATTATAGCTTTCTCATCCTGACTAACAAGAAGTTACTCACTGTTGCATTGGAAGTCTGCTAAATACCCTTCTATCTCCTCTTTTCTTTTTTTTTTAAACTTCAGAAAATTAAATCCACGTTGAGGATTTAGTCAAAGTTTTCCACAAATGGCCACCATTTATTTCCTATTTCACTAATTTAGAGGTACTACCCAACTGAATGTGTGCCTTTTATTGTTGTACCTTTTGTATTGCATAAATTCAATTATATTTGTATAGCACCAGATCATAATATACATTATGAGCAGCACTTTGAGACTGTGGAGGAGAAAACATTAACATGCAGAAACCTCGAGAACCAGACTCAGTGTGGAGACATCTGCCTCCACCGGTTGGGGTGAGCAAAGAAAACGGGAAGGAGATGAGAGATGGGTGGAAAAGAGGGGAGAGAAGAGAGAGGGATAGTGGGGAGGGGGAAGTAGGGGAGAGAAAGACCGGGGACACTTGAGCACCATCAGGTTTCAGATCTGACTTGTTAAAAATGGAACAACAGTGTAAAGACTATTAATTATTATTGATAACGGACACAGTTGATATCATAATGAATTACTGAGATATTGTAATTAGTAATAGTAAAAGTTGTTGTCCTGAGGTTCAGGGGTCAGAGAGAAAAAGAGAGAGAGAGAGAGAAAGAGAGAGAGAGAGACTATGGGAGGACAAAGTGAAACAGTCAGTGACATGTATTAAAATAAATGAATGAATGAATGTGGGGGGGGCAGAGAGAAGTGGAGAGGTGCTCAGTGCATGATGGGAGTTCCCCCAGCAGTCTAGACCTATAGCAGCATAACTAAGGGATGGGTCAGGACCTGATCCAGAACTATAGACTTTATCAAAGAGGAACGTTTTAGTTTAACTTTAATGCTGAGATGGTGTCTGCCTCCTGAACCCAGAGTGGGAGCTGGTTCCACAGGAGAGGAGCCTGGTAGCTGAAGGTTCTACCTCCTGTTCTGCTCTTACTGACTCTAGAACCACAACAGAGCCTGTGTTTTGTGACTGAAGTGATCTCTTTGGATAATATGGTGTTATCAGCTCTTTGACATATGAAGTCAGTTTGATTGTTAAGAGCTTTAAATGTGAGGAGCAGGATTTTGAAATCTATTCTGAATYTTACAGGGAGTCAGTGTAGAGAAGCCAAGACAGGAGTAACATGATGTCTCCTTTTCACAGACTTCCTGTGACGTCCTGATAATAAGAAATGACAGTAACCTAGGTAACGTGTCAGGACGTAGGTGGTCACAGACATAACTTCTTCTTTTCACAACTTCAATGATAAAGGCATCCTGTATCATTGAAGGGAAAAATTCATTTTTACTTTTGTACCTAAGTCCATTTCAGAGCCTGCCCTCTCATACTTTAACTTGAGTGAAGGAGTTGACTTAGTACTTTTACTACAATATATATTTTTTTTTACACAATGGCAGGAGGTCAGGTTCCTGCCATAGACTGTATATAAAGTTGAAATTCACCACTTCCTGTCATCAGGAAGTTGTGATTCAGGAAGTCCTGTCATCAGGAAGTTGTGATTCAGGAAGTTGTGAATCACAACTTGTCGTCAGGAAGTTGTGAATTTCAACTTTCCTGTCGTCAGGAAGTTGTGAATTTCAACTCCCTGTCGTCAGGAAGTGGTGAATCTACAGCGAGGGGAAACTACAGCAGTAATTAAATAAATAGAGCTTCACATTAATGATGCACTTTTATTACATATTCAAGTATTGAAGCACGAAGAAATAATCAATTATATCATATTTAAAAAAAACAAAACTAACAGAATCAAATCTCACATTTTAAATAAGATTTAAAGCGGGGACATCACAAACTCTCCCATCTAAAAAAAGATGAAGTAAAAAAACATCACAAGTAAACAACGTGAGTCTGTGGTCGAGTCCTCGACACGTTTAAAACACCAGACTGTGATTCTGTGTCAGTTTGAAATGATAAAAACAACTTATTTCAGTTTGTCTCACAGTTCAGGCTGGATCTGGATCTGGATCTAGATCTGGATCTAGATCTGGATCTGGATCTGGATCTGGATCTGGATCTAGATCTGGATCTGGATCTAGATCTGGATCAGCCACTCTCACCTTCGTCATCATTCACATCGTCATATCATGCTTATGCAGCACAAAGCTGCTCTCCCACATTCCCCCCCGAGGTTCAGATGCCTCGACAGGCGTCCGTCCTTCAGTCAGCCTTCAGGGCGTAGAGCACGTCGTCCTGACTGACGTTGAGGCGGACGCGCTGCAGGACTCCCAGGCGGCTGGGCTCCAGCAGCAGCAGCCTGCAGGCCCCCAGACGCTGACACACCGCCAGGCCCTCAGACACGCTGACGGGCTGCAAACCCTCCACCCGGCACAGAGCCTGGTGCTGCACAAACACCTGACAGAGCGAACGAGGCGTCACTCGGGATGTTTCACATATCATCGATTCAAACCACTTTCAATTCCAACAAAACAAATCAGCTGATTTTCATCGTCCAACTGATAAATCAGTCAAATAAACCGTTTTATCATCCGACAGAGTGAAGCAGAGACTAAGGCCTGTTTTCTTCTGCGATCACAGTTTCAGTTACTTTCAGATCTTCCTTCCTTCCTCACCACAGACATCAGTGCATGTTCTAGAAAAGCTAAAAACAGGATGTGAAGTAAAGACTCATCTGTATTTCTAGTTATTTTTAGATTCCTCTTCATGTGATTGATCTGACCTGTTGGAACATGGCCTCCTCCAGTCCGAGTCGTCGAAACTCAGCGATGACGGCCCTGAGGAACAGCTGCTCCTGCACGGACGCACACCTGGAAACACACATGTCACTTCCTGTCATTAAAGCTCCCTGTGCACATGTTTAGAAATCTGTCATGTGACCAGAGGGAGAATCCTACTTGATGGCGGTGATGTAGGCGGAGGAAAACATCTCATTTAGCGCCTCCATCACGTGGCTCATTCTCACCAGTCCCGTGGCAGAGTGCTCGCAGATCTCCGTCGCCCTGCGGCAGATGTCCAGACACCGGCGTGCGTCGCCCGACAGCGCGGCCACCTGCCAGAGGAGAGGAAGGCTGTGAGTGGACAGACCTGAGAACGGGCTCGGGTCAGACGCCACCGCCGGTCGTTTCACGTACCTTCCTGGACACGAGCTGCAGCGCGTCCTCTTCGAACGCCTTCACCTTGTTCAGCCTGGACATGATGATCTGCTGCAGCTGCTTGAAGCTGTACGGCTGAAAGGACATCCGCGTCAAACCCTGCAAACACACGTACAGTTAGTGTCTGACGTGCGTATTAAACATCAGCTAAGTCCCAAATAATGACATCAGGTGACAAATTGATCTGAAATAATCAGACTAACACACCCAGCAACACATTCATGTCCTCTGGTCATATGATGTGAAGAGGAAGTAGATTGTTTCCTCTGCAGTGGTTTAACCGCAGAAAATCCTCAGAATGAGGAAGAGTCAGAGACGGAGACGATTTCTTTTTCTGAGCGATGGGGTCCTGGTATCATGTGTATCGTGTGTGTATTTAGTGTGTGTGTGTGTGTGTGTGTGTGTGTCCTGGAAGTTCTTACTTGAGTGTGTGTGCTTAAACATATTCTTTGGCTAGAAAACGGTACAAGTGGGAATTGGTATTTTCCGGCCAAGTTTGGTCCAAACAAGTCAACATTGTTCAGAGGTTGAACCCCAATATAACCCCCCCCCCCCTGAGACGGCGAGTACTGTTGTATGTAAGTTAAAGATATTTATGGTTCTCGATGGGGACAAGTCTGACACATGATGGATGGATATTTATCAGTTTCTTTGATTTGGTGCACATCAAAATGAAAATCTGGATCTAGTGATGATTTGAATATGTTTTCAGACGAGCACCGTTTTAGTTCAGAGTTTGAAACCATTTGTTTTGCTGCTCCAGCGTCTCGTCCCAGCAGCTCCTCTGTCTTAGAGCTCGTGATCTGACATCTTGTAAGATGAACTCGTCTGTTCCCTCACCAGTCTGCTGGCCACCCTGTTAATCATGATCCTCTCCGGCAGGTCCATGGTGTTGGCGATGGTCAGCACCACCAGGCGGGCGTGACGCCGTGTGGGCCAGTCGAACAGGTTGTACATCACGTTCTGCTTCCGCGTCCATAACAAGTCCAACTACAGGAGACAGACGGGGACGTGTGAGTCTGACACAAACTGATCATTTTTAACTTGATGGTAAATAAACAAACAAACAAACAAATAAATAATGACCTCGTCCACCAGCAGAACTGTCGTCTCCTTCCTGGGCGCAGGGTTACTGAATCTCTTCTCCAGCAGGGCGGCAGCGTGGTCGGCCGTGGCCTTCTGACCCGTCAGTTTCTGAAGAGGACAGAGTCCGGTTCATTAGTGACCGTACCGTGGTTTTAATGTAACTCTGACGATTAAGACCAAGAGGTCAGAGTTCAGGTACATGAACCAGAAAATCTTCAGACATTAACTTTAACATTTTAACATTAACTGAATTTCCAACCTCCTCGCTCACATTAAGTCCTCACCTGCAGGATCTGGACGTAGGCCTGATGAGGATCCGTCATCTTCATCCCATTGATCTCGATGAAGAGGAACGAAGGGATCTCGTCCACTTCAGCTGCGTGCTGCAGACAGCGCATCACCTCGTGCACCGTGGCCGTCTTCCCTGTGCCCGGAACGCCCGAGATATACATACACCTGAAAGGCAGCGCACAGCAGGTCAGCGTGACAACCATCGGGAACGACTGACTCGCTGTAATGCGTCACACGGGCTCGGGCCTGGTCTCACCCCCCGGTGCCGTCCATGATCTTGCTCTCCACGAAGCTGTAGATGTCCTGAAACTCCTGCTCCCTGCAGGGAAGAGACTCCGGCACCGACGACACGTGCAGCCTGATGGGAGACGTAAACACATCGACATGTAATGAAGGTTTAAGGTGAAACACAGACACAACGATGCAGGTCTCATCAAACTGATTCTCAAGTTTGATTTAAATTTGTTGCTTGATGATATATAAACGTGACTGGTGATTGGTTGAGCGTGTGAGTGGGCGGGACCTGGATACCACGGCTCCACTTCACAAACAACAGACAATAGATTGACAAATGACGTCAAAAGCACAAGACGGTGTCGTTTGTATCCACGATACTTTAGTTGAATTTAGTACAACAGAAGGAAGTGGGGGCGTGTCCTTGTTGTCCGTAATAACTATAAATACATAAAACTTCCTTCAAAGTCCGTGTGGATGAAACAAAGTGCGTCAGTGTGGTTAAACTGAAACTCTCCTCTTACCTCGCTCTGGCCTCCTCCAGGACATTCCCAGGACGTCGGGCAGGCAGTGACCTGCTGGGGATGCTGGGAGTGGCGTGACGGGGGGTCCGGGGAGTGCCAGGTGTGATCTGTTGAAGAAGACGTAAAACATTGAGAGACGTTTAAAAGACTGATGTCTTCGTGTCACAGAGTTAGACTGGACCACACGAAGGAGGACGTCTCTGGATGATTTCAGATTTCTTCACACACACAGTGTCATCGCTCGATTACATTTTATTTTAAAACAATCAACCAATTATCATCAAGAATCAACCGATGAGAAAACATTTGCAGCTTGTGTAAAAGTTTGAACCAATGAAGTTTGAGAGGAAACATGTTTGATTGTGTTGTAAATAAATAATGTGTCATGTGGCCCCTCCTCCCCAACAAGCCAATCAATCATCTGCATCAAACTAAAACTTCTGCGTATTTCCAACTTCTCTTGTGCAGACGACTGCGATGGACTGTGAACTGTTCGGGTTGAACCCCTTTGGGACAAAGCCTGGTCCTGTTCACTGGACTGTGTATTGGCAAGAAGGGAATAATACGATACAGGAATTTTTGATTTAATATACTGCAACGCAGATCAGATAATACATACAGTACAAAAGAAAATACCCACAATTCATCAGTCTGGACTTTTACCTTCTTGTTGGGAGTTTTACGCGGCGTCCTGGTAGTGATGCCAGTTTTCCGCTTTGAGCGAGGAGTGCGTGAACCCGTCGCAGTGTGTCGGCCCCTCTTTACGACAATATCCTCATCACTATCCAGGCCTTCCTCCTCCTCCTCCTCCTCGCTGCTGCTCTGCAGCTCCTTCTTCGATGGAACAAACTCGTCCTCTTCTTCTCCATCTGAGTCCGGGAGCTGAAGGTTCTCCAGAAGATTCCTGAACAACCAGGAAACAAATGGAAATGGTTCCCAGTTCATGAGCCACAAACGCAACGTGCAACAAGATAAAACTCAGCAACAAGAAATGCTCACGAATCAGAAGCTGGAGACAATAAATATTTTGCTGTTTTCTTGGATAAATGAATCATTTACTTTGCTCTCTGATGTTAATCTGGGAGAAAAGAATCCAATGTTAATTCGAACACGAATAATAAAACAGTGACAGAGGTTGGATGATTGGACTTCACCAAGTTTCCATTAGAACTGAACTCAAATGTGAGAATGGATCAAACGTCCTTCTGTCAGAGCACAGCAGCTACGAGACAACCTGGAGGTCGGAGGTCAGTCACAGAGCCGTTGCACTCACAGCTGTTTCCTGATGCGAGACGACACCAGCTGGGCAGACTTCCTCTTCGAGCTCCTCGGCGTGACGGCGGTCGGCAGCATTGGAGAGTTTTCGTTGTCCACCTCAGCCCTGTTGACATCAGACATTTACAGTCACGGACGTCCCACACGTGGCGGCATACATAACATTTCTGTTTTTAAATGTGATGACATCACACTCACAGAGCAGCCAGAGCAGGTTCCCTCTGGGTTCTCGCTTCTTTCTTACGAGATGGCGTCCCAGCCCTGAGGACAAACCGGTTGGTTCAGTGAGAAGAAACGTCCACAGTTCATTCGGAGACAGAACCAGTGTTTTCATCTGACGTGGTGACTCACCAGAAAACACCGAGACTCATTTAAAACCACCTCATCACCTGAAACTTTGTTGAGCATCGGAGGAGCTGATGCTTTAATTAAAGATTCTGTCCACACTGTTGCTATGGTTACACCAGGTGGAGACTTGTGTAAACTGGGCTGGTTTAGTTTGAAAACTCACTTCTGCCCTCTGGTGGAAAGGTTTCTAACTACAAACCTATTTAATCTCTGAGTTAGTATTATTTTAAAACCAGTTTCTTTGGATTCCATCATTTCAAACCGGCTTCTCTCTCTGGGTTCACACAGTTGAAAACCAGATTGAGTGTGTCAGTTAATTCTTGAACCTGAAAATAATCCACAAGGTCTGAATGAGCGTCTGAAGAATAAGGCTGATGATGTTCTATGAACATTTGAATGTAGGTGAACTAAATATTAGGAACCCAGAGCAGTTGAACAGCAACACTCGGGCCTGTACACAGACTATATACACAATGTTCCTTCAGTTAGTGTGTGGGAGTGAGTCCACTACCCTCCCCCTGACCTGGTGGAGTCTCCTCTTCCAGACGACGGTGGACCGCCAGACTCCTTCAGGTGGGTTGCGTCCTCGACGGCGGCGGCTCCATGGGCCTTCCTGAGGGGGGTGAGTCGGTGGGGGAGGGGGGTGACAGGGGCCCTCTGGGTCTTGCTGAGAGGGGTGAGGCTGTGGGTGAGGTGCAGGGCCTGAGGAGGAGACGATGAGAGCCTCTGCGCCAACATCACAGACTCCAGCTCCTCGTCCAGCAGCTGGTCAGCGAGGTCTTCCTGCGTCACTTTCTCCGGACCTGACGATGAAACAGTCAAAAAAAAAAAAAACTACTGGACGAATGAACTGGATGTTGTCGTTTCTTTTTACTGGTCTGCAGAAACAAACCAGAGGAAATAAACTGAAATCTACTGATTATCATTTTCAAACACTCACTGTTGAGCTCCAGTTTCTTGCGGACTCCCGGCGTCCTGGCTGTGGCGCTCCTCCTCTTGGCGCTCAGACATTTGGAGGCTGACAGTTTGGTGGTGGAGTGCAGGGACTCGGCCTCCGCAGTGCAGACCTTGCCCGCGCTCATGGTGGCTCTTCTGTATCTCACGTCGCCCGAGGAGGCGCTGCGCATGACTGCGGGGTCCGGCGTGGGCAGGGCGCGTCGAGAGGGGCCTCGAGACGCAGGAGCAGCCGTGGGCGGGGACCGGGGGGGCGAGGGGGGCAAGGAGGGTTTGGGACAGGGAGGAGGAGAGGATGCCGGCGTGGGTTCGGAGGCAGACTCCACCACAGCAGAGTCCAACAACTTGAAGGTCTTAGAGTCCCAGGACAGCTTCACAAACAGAGTGTCCTTATCGTCAGAGTCAGGAAACGCCGCTGCTCCGTCCAGGTGCTTCACCTTCGAGACAAGAACTTACAGGGTCAGTTCACACACACACACATACATACATACACACATACATACATACATACATGTCTCTGTTACATGTTAGTCCAATCAGGAAAAGGCAAAAGTAAAGATTCAAAGATCAGATTTGAGTGGTCAGACTTTCATTCATGTGTTAAAATAAAGGAGAAGTAACCTGCACAGGTCTGAGGATGGACTCAGCGTTGACCTCGTCGTCACAGCTGCGACCTTGATAGTAGAAGATCTCCTGAGGGTGAGGCTCTCTGCCCAGCAGCTTCAGTTTGCTCAGAGGCACTTCAGACACACGAACAAACCACTGAACCACCGCCTTCTTCTGCTTCCCGCTCTCTGAAACACACGAGACACTTGGTCTTTGTGCTGCGTCGCATCACTCATCGTTTGTCTGTGTTACTTCAGTGCACTCGATCGGTTTAATCATCGAGTGTTTATCTACGTTCTCAATCTGACGTTGTTGTTCTCCGTCTCGTTTTGTGTGACACAGCTCAGCCAATCAAATCCGCTCCAATGAGCATCCGGACACACTGACATCATCACGTGGTCATCGATCCTGTTCCAACATCTCGTTGGACTCACCGTCACCGAAGAGCCTGACGACTTTGGCCACGTACGGGTTGTCTTCATCGTCGCCCTCTATGAGGATGTGCTGGCCGGCGTTAATGATGGTGGTCCTCGGGAGACCGTCCACACTGATGGACAAGGAGCTGAGACACAATCACACGAGTTCAATATCCAAGCAGGATTTTCACAATAAAAGTGAAAAGGAGAAGCTGGTTTCAAAAATTCAACTGTTTGTGTCAGATAATAAATAAATAAACTAACACAATGAAGCCAGACACACAATGAAGCCAGACACACAATGAAGCCAGACACACAATGAAGCCAGACACACAATGAAGACAAACACACAATGAAGCCAGACACACAATGAAGACAAACACACAATGAAGCCAGACACACCAGACACTTTGGTTCTCACCCAAATTCATACGTCTTCAG